CACACAATCCATCCATACTTTCTTCGGTCTTCCTCTACCTTGAAGCCGTCCACATTCACTCTTTACACTTTCTGTCCCTGGAATGTCAAAAAACTTCCATAAGATCCTTATAGCTCTATCATATATGACACGTTATTTATAAAACGAATATTATTTTTGATAAATTAAAAATATTGGTAATTTTTTTTAGATTTCCATCATAAAGTTCATTACAATTTGGACATGGTAACTCACTTCGAGGCTGGTCGTTCGCTGACATCGAAGAATGCCCCACAAAAGTACACGAGTTTATACTAATTTGACGAAAGAAAAATGACGAAGACCATTGACAGCAAGATGAATATTTCAACAATTCTCATAAAAGAGTTCACTCATACAATCTTCTACCAAATTAAAGACACACATAAAAAAATAACACGCTTCAATTCTCTGACTAAGTATATACTAATATATATTAAAAAATGAACATGAGGGTAGTAAAACAAAACTGGCCACACAGCTTGTATGGAAAATAGATCTCTAATGAATGTGTGCCTATTTTTCTATGAAAGAATCTTCAAAACTTGGTATGATGTATTTTATTAACGTAATAATGGCGTTTCAGGTATCTAACCTTAAATATTGGCGGATTTAGATTGTGAGGACTATCCCTTGAGTACTACAAAAACTTAAAAGACGTATTTTTTCCAAACTGTTAAAATAACATACTAAAATTATTGCTTGGCATAATTTTTTTAAAGTCCAAAAAATATCCGGAAGTTTTTTGAAAATCTTGTGGACACCTACAAAAGTAAACCTTAAGTCCTTACCTGGATCCGCTTATCTATTATATTGAAAAAAAAAGTAGTAACTCTGCCACGTGGTATGTTATGTGTTCATATTATTCTCTAGATGTAACTTATATCTAATCGTATCTAACGAACTTTAAATAAAATTTAAATTAAAAAACATACAATAATTCATAAAAATTCCGTCTCATATACAATTAAAAAATTAATGAAAAAAATACGCTTCAATATCAGAATATAATAAAAAGGAAATAGATACTAAATTGTTTTTTAAAAACATTTAACTTTTTTCTTTGTCTAATGTTTCTGATATCAACTAGAATATTTAGGCGTAGTTTAAAAAATATGATGATTCAGGCTTTTGGTTCATTTTTATAGTGAAAGTGGCCCTTAAACTTGTATGACCAAGAAAAGTTAACCATTTGCTGTGATTAAAAAATAATAGATCAAATCGGCAATTATTTTTTATGTGTTACAAAACAATCACAGAAAAACTTACGATACACTTATACTATTATACTGTGCTTTTAATTTTTATGGTTTTTGAGCGCTGATTAGTGAAAATTCTGATCATTTTATTTGTGACGTAAATATAAAAAAAACATGGCCGTCGTATTCCAATGTCAAAAGCATTGTCAGTATCAACCAATCAGAAGGCTGTATTATCGACAGTGGCGCCGCTACTATTTTATAGACAACTTGTTCAATTTATTCTTTAATCTAGAATAAAAAGTTTTTCCACAAATATGTATGTATTGGTGTTTTTCTTGCAGTAATTTGATGTGTCCCATATTAAATGTAAACAAATTTAGCTATTCAGTCATTGTTAATATCTAGTATTCTGAATTATGTAACGTCTTATATCCAAAAGTAATCAATAGTTGTAGATTCGTAGGTAAATCAAATTTACAATCGCCTTAAAATGACGTCAAATATGACAATTTTCTCATCGAGATTTTTTTTTGTTAAAGTACAAAGTTTTTTAGTGAACGCCTTTCCCTTTATTGGTTCGTTTGAAAATTGGATAAAATCATTTTAAGCTGTTTGTGATTTTAAATCGAATTTTGTGTCTGCCATTTTATATTTATTGAAGTTTAATTTAATGCTTACTGTGTAAATGTGAATTTACAATTTGTAGTACTGTTCATTTCGTTTTTAAATAATTTTAGTACAAATGATCGAAAATCGGCTTTACAGGTAACAACTGCTGTTTAATTTCTCATTGTTATTAAAAAATGTTGAAGGTTTACATTATCCATAAAGGATTCCTTTTTTACACAAGTGTAATGTCATTTAATGACAAATATATTATTTCGCCATTACGTAGTAATTCGTCATTAATATAGGTAGAATTATTTCTTTTACAGAAAAATATTTTTTTACCGCTTACCTAGTATCTAACGTAGTGTATAAGTTATTAAGGGTAGTGAATAATTTAGTTCAACTGAAATTGTTACATTGTATCAATATTTGTATGCGACAAGTCTTTTATCCAGGAATTAAAAAAAAACTCTAAAAGTATAGCTTTATTAACACTTTATGGCGGCTCGCAGTTTCGCTTGAGGCAGTACCCAATAATATGAGCATCGTTTTTAGTTTACTACTAAGGCAAACTACGAACTGCTATAAAGTTTGAATCTTGTAATACCATTTTTTTCAACATTCAAGTTTTTAGCAAATATGGTTAGCAAAAAAGATTGTTTTGAATACGTTCGTAATAATTGGAAGGTTTTTGTTTGATAATCAAAGCGCCTAGAAAATTCTATTGGATGAAGACTTGGTATTGATAAAGCCTATCTGATATCATGATTTATTGTCATAGTTGTGTAAGTTAATTACAAATGATTTGTTTTCAAATATGCGCAGTTAAATAAGATATACGTTATTGTCTTGTCTCCACATAGTCGAAACTATGATTTTTGTGAATTTAACTAAATAACAGGAAAATTTCCAATAACCTGCTTATGAAGCATTTTATAATTTAATGTTAACTTTTTAATGTAAATGTAACCATACCTTGATGTCGTTAATTGATTTTCCGAGTTTTTTCAAAAACATTGTATTTCTTTAAAATTAATACGAATAATTAATTTGGATTGATGTTTATACTGACATTTTAATGTATTTGTACTGTAATTCCGCCTTAAGTACAATAAAACAAGCTATAAAATGTATAGCTTTTTTAAATCAGTTGGTACTATCAGTTTTCCCATAACAAAATACTAAGAATTGATGTACTCGAAATCTTTCGAAGTATTTAGAGATATCTAAAGTTTCGAATGGAGACTTATTCTAATATAGTGTATTATTTTGCAAGTATATAAGTACATTACGTATTAAATTGTGCGTACTCACTGTTATCCAATATCATTTTTGATGTAAGTCAAATCAAATATACAATGGTGAAAAATATTTGTTTTAATTCTTCCCACCCCATATAATGTTTTTATCGTAAATTTAATGTTATAGTTAGTCAGAGTTGACAATTGAATAGGAACTTATAATGTATAAAAACCTATACCATTTAAATGGCTCATTAAGCTGGAAGTCAATTCGGTTTCCGTCGACGAAGAGGACAAAGATGCATTCCACAATGCTAAGAACGGTACGTTTAGGTACCCTTTTGGATAATTTCATTATTCAACTAAGAAAAATATTAAATTGTGTAGTATACCTTTAGCGTTGTCGTCAGCAATAATTACCAATTTTGTACAAATGCACAAATAAAACAGAACAAGTCCATTTAATAGACTTTGAATCCTAGATATTTAACAACCAACTTTAAATTACCAGACATTTGTAAAAACGAAAGTTTGCAGTTTTATATTACAAGGCGCTCTCACAAAAGGACTTTGTAATCTTTAATTATACTTGTAGGTATATTTTGTTAAGTTGCTCTGTAGTTTGTGTTGTCTTATAATCCCATGGTTTAAATACACCATCGACAAATTCAACTCATCTCCGCATAGCGGCAGCGTGCAGCCAATAACTGACTTGCAATGTTGCCTGTTCAAACAATTTTGGATTAATTTAGGGAAAATGTCTACCTATATCGGAACAGATTGAGAAGATGAATGAAGTGGAATATTAAAACTTTTTTAATTATACATGTAATCCTTTAATATAGAGAAAATGTTTTCTACCTATTTTTACTTACCTCTACCTATTTTTCATAGAGGTATATAAAACAACGTATTAAAGCATGATTAAAAGAATTGAATGTCCAATAGTGCGAATTTGTTAATATTAAACGGCAAATAATGAAACTGGAACTCTTAACTTTTTATTCGGGTAAGTAAAACCGCAGTGATGTCAACACCGACAGTTTAGGTCGGCTTGGCGTGCGGTTGTCGCCGAATTTCCCGCATAAAATGGAACCGAAGCATTCTAATTTCCGCGAAAATTTATAGAAAAAGAGTTAGAAACAAAATTGCGTAATCATGATTATGTTAGATTTATAACATACGGTGAATTTTTGTGGTGATTATTTTTCTTTCGGATAACCAATGTTGAGTTTATAGATTGACGCTGGTAAGGTTTTGAAATAAAATTACATTTATTTAACATTTATTAGTATATTACGATCTGAATGATACATTTCCGGAGTAATTTTACAATTTTGATATTTTTTTTATAAATTACATACATGTAAAAAGATTTTTACCAACGCGTAACTTCTACCGCACATTATTAATGATTACCGCAGTGGGGAACCCAAATGTTATTATTATGCTGTAAATTTTTCCGGCATCCCTTTGACTACAAAATCAATAATGTCTGCGCATAGCATTGTTCGTAGATACGCTAGCGTATAACGCTTTATTGCCGTGGTCATTTAATGTTATCCTATGCGTAAAATTTACAACTTTTATTACATAAAACATTTAAGTATTAATTTTTTTTATATGATTAAAACATAACCTCAATATAAAACATGCAAAATATTCGCGCCTGTAATTGGTAAAATAAAGTAATTTCTAAATTAAAACATTTTGTTTATATTTACTTAAAATTATTCTTCTTAAAAAATTCTAATGATATGGTAAATATAAAACGTATTTTCATAAACACAAAGTATAAATAGAGACAGATTTGAAGCTCTCGCAATAACTACTAAATCACAGTCATATTTTTTTAATTGTCTGTTACTAGAGATTGTGGTACTACATCGATAGAGTATCGATATATTTTTATTAAAATATTATTTGTGCACTTTTGTGTCATAAATTTGTAAAAATGAATAACGATGCTTTTTATATCATATACATTATTTATAGGCGCATTAGATCTAAAAATCTGATGTGTCGTAAAGAGAAATTTTATTAGTTAAATAACAATTACATATATTTGCTTATCTCTTCAAAAAATGTTTAAAATGAAACTAAACATAAACTCTAATTTTCATTGTACTTTTTGTGCTATTTTGTTTGAGAAGTCTGAAATCTGACCACCGTGTTTATCCGCATTATCATAAAACTAGAAATAAAATCAATTTAGTTTTCGTTACAAGGACAGCGGTCACATAATTTTTGTTACGTTACAGTTGTAGTTATTTTTTACACCAAATTTATATTAAATTTTAGGTATTTTACAAATTATTATATAATTATCAAGTAAAAGTTATAACTTTCAGTTTAAAATGGTATGTAACGCTTGTATTAACGTTGACATTGCCTAAATATAAAAAAAAAAAACAACTGTTCTTTTTTTGAATTCTACGTGAATTGCTCGTGCATTATAAACGACTAGTCAATGTGTATGTAATGTTTTGATTTACATATTAATAATGTGAAGCAGTCATGGCTATGCAGTCGAGCTGAGGTCGGACGGCGCTAGCGGTGGTCAGATCGGTGAAGCTGCGAAAGATGCGCTGGATATTCCCCGTCCCAGGTAACCTTTTTTATTAATTCTTACATTTAATTGTGAATCTACAAACTTTATATCCGTTGAGATTAAAATTAATAAAAAAGGGCAAATAACATCAACTTTTTTATTCAAGTTTTTTTTTAATACGTCTTATCTCTAATTAACGTTGGTAACATTACGTAACTTTTTAGTTATTTTATTTATAGAAGTCATGGTTATGGTTACTGCGAAAAGCCGTCAGCATGGACTATTTATGTGACTTTTACGTTCGCGCACTATAAAATAAATTAGGATTACGAAGTTTTTACGAGATTACCAATAATAATTTGTTTAACTATTATTTTATGGAATTGAAATATGATTCTTAGTAAATGTTAGATATTTTATAGAACAAATACAAAAAATAGTGTTTTAATATGAGAATAAAAATATATCGACATGCATTAAATGCAGCACTATGCGTGTTCCACTTTTTGTTAGCCATTTATAAAAACGTTACGTTACTATTAACGACCAGTGATGCGACCGCGTACAAAAATTAAAAATAGAATATCACAGAAAGTTTGAATAGTAAGCATATTCAAATAAATATATCTGTTTAATTCAAATATTTACACTTTAAATTTATGAATTTAATGGAATGTACAGGAAATTCCGTATGCTATACCGTTGTGCGCATCATAACCTCAACATATGAATGTCTAAGTTTTTTTAAAAAAAAAAACATTAAAAGTGTGTTTTTTAAATACAATTTAAGCGAAGGATGCTACCATCATAAATGTACGAAACCATTTCCAGTACAATTTGGTTCAGTTAATTCGTTAATAGATTCGTTTTAGTCGCATATAACCAATTTCAAAGTAAATAAACATTTCAATTCAACGTAATTCTATTCTTTCCAACGAAACAACTTCGTTCCTTTCATCTGTTTCAAATTAATTTAGTTCATTTTTTAGCACCCGACTTGTGTGATATAATTCCGGCGTTAAAACGTTTTAAAAATGCATTTGAATCACTGTGTAGTCAAAATATTCATTTTACTTACATTTTATTATACGCGGTTTCGTTTACTTTAGCGTAATTGACGATTCTCTGCACTATATAACTAGTGTTACTAATCTTACTAATATTATAAATGCAAAAGTTTAGTTGGATGTATGCATTGATGATGTAACTTAAAACACCTGGCCGGCTCTCGATGAAGATATTCATAGAGGTAGAGGATAGTCTGGAAGAACACATAGGCTACATTTTTTTTAAATCCACGCGGACTGTGTCGCGGGCGAAAGCTAGTATGTTATAAATGCGAAAGTTTAGACGTATGTTGGAGTTTGCAGTCTAAACTGCTATTTGGATCTCGAATACGAATTGAGTACCTCATTCTTTTGAGATGTTGGTCAAAAACGGTATAAATTCATCTTTAAACTATGAAAGCACAAGTGCTTTGATATTCGTTGAAATGACTCAGTAATGGTACGCTAAAAGCACGATTTAAATTTAGATTTATGATGCTTAAACTGTATTCACATCACCTTTGTGCAATATTAGATTGCATATTCAGTAATTATGTCTTTGTGGTCGAAATTAACCATAATTCACAAACAATCGGGAGATATAATAATATATTCAATTCGTAATCACGAGTAAAATACAAATGTTTCTCGTTTAGTATTGACATTATTTAATGGTTTTTTAATTATAATTAATTTTCAATCATGCTAATATTACAAATGCGAAAGTTTAAATGGATACAAACTTAACATGGATGTTTGTTAAAGTTTGCAGCCTAAATTGCTGAACGGATCTTGACGAAATTTAGCATGACTGTAGAGCATAGTCTGGAGGAACACATAGGCTATTTGCTTTTGTTTTTTTTTAATTCCACGCGGACGTCGCGGGCAAAAGCTAATTAAACTTACAGCATCTATTACCCGATTCCTAAGTTACTTTATTGCTGTGAAATATGATTTCAATTATAAAATGCATGTGTCTCTACTTATTCAACGTGAATGTGAGGTATGCCAATATGTTTTAATACAAAATCCGACAGTGTAAACCCACCCATAACTGTCCTGTCTGAAACGGAAATAATACTAGGAAATATTACCAGTGCGGTGCCGCACCGGCTGTAGCAATACATCGCTTTGAAAAATGTCTGACGCATTGCTGTGAACATTTTAACGTCCTCGTTTGTATTGCAGTGACCAGATTGAGAGATTGCAATTAGAGTTTACGATCTCACTGAAATAATTTATAATAAAATTTTGAGTAAAATATCATTTGGCGGTGATTCAATAAGTAAATAATAGGGTATCATGCCAAGGACGTAATACATTTTCAAGCATTAGAAAATTTACTGCCAAATTATGCTTGTAATAAAACTGCTTTTTTTTTACTGGAACAATAAGAGGTATATGTTTTTATAAAAGTTTTTCGTCAATGGAAATCCAATGATGGTGTTTGTGGTGTCACGAGTCGGACGTCAGTAAAGACGTTACTGTCGCGTGAGATCGTGTGGGTTAAGTTAATAGACTCTATTTTTAACTATCCCAGATACAAGGTACGCTGTCTATAGTCCAGTTTTTAATTTATTTTTGGAATAAATGTTTTGATAAAATGATACAAAACGTGGTACAACATTTTATCGTCACGTATACAGTTATTGTTATTTTATGTTTTTGTTATGATTGAAAATAATATCAAAGTTTTATTTAGTCATGAAGATGTTTTTGTTCTAACAAGGCATACGAATGACGTCTTTTCAGTGTTCTCATGAGTCTTTCTATTCATTTTTCTGGCTTCTAGAGGCCCACTGTTTTACAAGAATGTATGACCGCATTGTTTTGTACAATCAACTCTTATATTAAATAGTAGAACTGGCCTAAAAGATTGTTTTGTGACCAAAATAGACTCGTGTTAGTACAAATTAGCGTTAAAATATTCAAATATAACTACCTTTTGTAAAAGAATCATGTCATAAAACAATGCATAAAATCAAACAGACGTATATGAAATAACGAAAGATTTAGCGACGTAGAATGTTCAATCATTATGTTGCGCGGCACGCGAAAGCAGTTAGGGTTGTACTGACACTCGGAAAACCGACTTATCGATACAGTAGCAATTGCTGACTTATATCGATAAAACATTGTTTTCTGTCAACATGGTAGGATACAACAGAATCCCCAATCGCTACTCAGTTTTGTTATGCTAAATGACTTATTTAAAATAATAATAAATAATTTATAAACTGTAGGGAAAAAATATATTCAACCAATACAAGTCAACCAAAAAACACCGCTGACTATAAGCAAAACTCTCAGCATTTAAGCAGATTTTTCCGATTGTTTTATTTAATTTTTTCTTTGTTATCGATGTTATTCTTTAGGAACGTTACTAGACGTGGCATTGCATGATAAGGTTTAATTATATTTTGCATATTAAATATATACAGAACGAGTTACTGATCTCGACCTCGTGATAACCTCATAGTTTTCCATACATAATTAATTTTTTTAACTAATAAATCCCATAGTAAACGTTTTGCATCACTATTTAATAGCTTACTACTACTGTGTATTTTTTACTTTTTATGTTTTCTATTTGGTTTTTCCTACTAGGTACATACGATTTTTTTTGTATTATAGTATATTATTTAGGCGTTGGACATCTAACATGGTTACTCAGTATTGTCTATACTAACGATTTTACTATTTTTTTTTCATTTTCATGGCACGCTATTAAGTAGTAAAGTTAAAATACAACCTTTCATAATAATGCAGTGAATATATTAAGTTGAAACAAGGTCTTTGGGCGAGGGTCAAACAAAAATGTCGTAGTTAAACAGTGAATAGGCTGGTATTTACGTGGCCCACGACACACAAATGAGCTTTTGATTATGCCGTCGCATGCAGTGCAGCCAGGGGCGTATTTTTGTCGTGTACCTTCTACTTTTTGCTTTGTTATTACATTTACTTCATATACTGTGTTATTTCAACATTTTATCTTTATAGAATAATACATGTTTCATTTTTAAACAAACAGCCTGCGACGTGACTAACTTTAGAGTCAATTTTAAAGAGTAATTTTTAGCAGCTTTAAGTCCACGTACAGCACGGTGTTTAAACTATGGTTGATAATAGAAGATAGGTGTTTAACTCTTTATAATTGCTGAATTATTAATATGCACACTTTGAATGTCTTTTCAGTTCTTCTGATGTCCTGGTTTGGAGTGGACCAAGTAAAAGCAAACTCGTGCATCAGAACTGGTAACAAATAAAACTAACTAAACTACAGTCGTATTATGTGAACGTTAAATAGATGTCCTAATGTTATCTAGATTTCTTATACATTGAGTTTGTGGATACAAAAACATCGATAAAAACAATCTCGTGCAAATCACGTCACTTTATGGACAATGTTTTGAAAACAAACTAATAAAGCCCTATCTTATCTCTTATTGGGTCGTTTAAATTATAATCTCTGCAATTATATTACTGTTTTGTTGTATAAGTTGTCTTATATTTTAATTTTTACCTTCAGTACTGTCATACATAGTTTTAAGGTGCGTTTTTATTTTCGTAACCATAGTTAAAATAGTAATTTATAATGCATTAGTCTATGTAGACTATAGTTTAAATGCATTATAATTTAGTTTAAGGTTTAGATAGTGAAAATGTACCTTAAAATTTATCAATTCATCGAAACGTTGTCCATAGAGTTAATAATTTTTAGAGCTGTTAAAATTTTAAAAAGATGTCGTAATCACATTCTCAATGTTTCCACTTTTGAGTGTCCACAGGAATGTATGTTGCAAATGTTAAGTGGAATGGGTAATTTCATTGCATGCCTGAATTTTACGATGTAAAATTTTATTCCAAATTGAAATATACTAAGAAACACTTAACAGACATAACTTATTAGATAACACTTTAGGTGCTCCTGTGAATAACTATACATTTATTTTGATGAAACAAAATTTCGCATTTCCTTTCTTCCACAAATGTATTATAACATACTGTTATTTTTATATACGGATAACGAAAATAGTGAAAATATAATGTGAACTAATTAGTACCGCTCTTTATCTTTTATGACTTTTTTACACTTCAGTGTTATAGGTATTTTATAATTAAAGCTTTTTAGAGAAAAAAAAGAAGCCACAAGATTGGTCCGAGATGTTAAGATATTTAAAATATGATGATTAATTTGCTTCCATCACTTTATGATGATTAATTTTAGTAGATTCCTTATGTTATATCAGTATATCCGTGGTTTAAGCACTTGACTTGTAATCTACAAGTCTTGGGTTCGAATCCCGCCAAAGTGATTTTTCGAATTTTCATATGTACATAATTTACCCGACGTTTCTACGGTGAATGTATACATCGTGATGCAACCTGCACATATCGGCGAAGAAATTCAAAGATATGTGTAAAGTCGACCCACACGCAGAGGGCCAGCGAGGTTGACTATGGCCTAGTCACCCTAAATTAGGGTATTTTCCGAGCCTCTCTGTGGGGAGTGAGCTGGTGATGATGACTTATGTTACGCTAGAGTTATCTTTTCTTGGTTTCAACTATTAATTAGCAGTATGTTTTAATACGTTTCCATTAATTTGATTGCCAAGTTCTATATAAATAATTGCATATTATTTTGCCCAGTCTACGGTGAAACCTAAAGACTATAGAGTTATTCACAGGATAATAGCTATTAAAAACTCTTTGATGTTTGAGAGTGTTCGTTCATTGTGTAGTTAAATGTTGTTTTGTTTTCTGCTATTATTTTTCTTTATAACTAATTGAAGCATGGATTTTCAGCATTATGGGCACTATCTCTCAGCCCCCTTGTTCAGGCGAAATGCCAAAGTAAGTACTCGTTGATTATCGTAAGGAAACTTATGTTTTAATATATCCACAAATGGCTCTAAGCTTTAAAGAGAACAGTTTGTTTTATATCGAGGCTAAAGAATTTCTATGCTATACACATTACCATAAGCTTTGATAATCGTATGCTTTGCTGTAAAATATTTACACAAATGTGTAATTAATGGCAATACTAAAGTATTGTTTTTTAAACATCTCTTTGATTCGTCCTTTGAACTTTTTAAAATTGATTTAAACTTTGAAATAAAGATAATTACCGCGAAGCTGTCAATTTTTTATTAGCTAACGTTGTTGAAGGGGTAGACTGGGTTTTATTTTTTACAAACAAGTGTTTTTTTGTTTTACTTTTTAATATGACTTAATATTTACAGGTAAGAAAATGTGCTGAAACTGTACAGTGTATTTTTACAAGCGTCTTATTGTGTATAAAGAAAATTGCTTTCATTAGAATATTTTCATTTTTATTTGTAAATTTTATTATTACAATTGTATACAATAACACACTTCAACTTACATAATACACTTTCGGTCGTATACTGCAACGACATTTGAAATAGATAAAAAAAATTAAATCACATTATATTAAATTACAAGGTCTCTAAAGTAATAATTTAAAGTGTATCAGTTTATTAGTGTTCGTTTCAGTATCCGGCCGATATACATTTATAATACGTAATTGATGTTTCGGTGTGTACTGCTAAAGGTTGGTTGTTAGTTCTTGTACCCGAGATTGTGTTATAAATGCTTACGCTTTTATTGTGACTAAAGGTTTTGTAAAAAAACATTAATTATTTAATTAAATATGGTTGGTTACTGATTTTATGTTGAGACAGTTTTCTCACTTTTATAGATAGAAGTTTATATTCATTTTAAATGATTAATTTTGTGTTTAGTTAATTATAATCTGGGTAGATGTCTATTTATTTAGAATACATCGCCTTGATTAGATGTAATTTTCAAAGCAGGTGCTATTTGTAGCACTTATAGTTATAGAATATTTTGCATTTGTTATATTTCAGTGCTTTTGTATAATAATTAGTCAATTATTTTAATGCTATTAGACTTAAATCTTCAATATTCTCTACGGCAATATACTCAAACGACATTTAAATTTGTAATATTAAAATTTCACTAAAAATGTAAGAAGCGAAGTGTTTAAAATTCATTTTAGTCACTGTTACATTTTAATTAAAAAAAATGTAAAACACCGTTTGCGAACATTCAAATCGTACGTTCGTTTTCAATCCAATACTATAGTAAATATGTTTTCATTTAAAGTCAGTAGAAAAACTGCAATAACATAAATGAAGGCCGAAAAGTTTCTTTGCTTCTTTTCCGTTCAATGTTTTTTTATACCGGCTTTTAGCTGCACGATGTATTCTATGCGCTATTTTTTTGGATATAGGTAAGTTAAAGTCGGATATATACTTTATGCGGAAAATAAATAGAAGAATATATTTGATTATAAAGAACAAAAGGGGCAAAATTCAGGGGAATATGACTATATTTCAGGTCTGAAAAAGACGCATATGTAACTATGCGACAAAATATACATACATACACACTATCATGCGTCGCCAAAAGAGTACTCGAAAAACTAAATATAACTAAAAATAAATTAACTTCAAATAAGATTATATAACGAGCCAAATATGGCAGCTGTCCCCAGACCTAGTCTAGGCTGGCAATGCCTGTACACTATCCAATTACATTATTGAAATAAGTAGAGTATGCTCCAGGTGCTAGATATTTTACCATCGGACGTTCAAACACGGCCGGAATCCACCCTTTGTAGTTGATATACCGCAGTTCTAGTGATATTTGAATCATCGTTCCTTGTACACATTGCAAGGGATTGGAACAAGTTGTGTCAGTTTGCTCGTCCAAATAAGATGTGGGAATCTTCAAAAGAAAAATGCACAGCCATTTATTAAGCTAGTGCGTACCATCTTTGGACTGCATCATCACTTTCTTCAGGTGGGATCGTGGTCAGCTAAGAACATAAAAAAGGACACTACGATAGGACTAAGACTTCCCAGTATTCTCAGTAGTTGAATAATCAGATTTGAGTACGTTTTTGTTAGTTTTTTTAATGCTCTGTTTTGTTTCTATTTTCCAACTAATTTGATAACTATAAATAAAATTGCAATTTTATGATTTGCTTTCTTTTCTTATGTAAGTTGGCAATGTTTCAATATTGCTTTCCACAAGGTAAAATATGACGCAAACGAGAATCGCATTAATGGTGTGACAGAAGCCTATTTAGTGCACGCAAATAGACTTCATGTCTCCGAGAACAGACTATCTTTGTGTAAGGTTTACTTGTATGATTTCACGTATTAAAAATCTTAAGGTTCTAGCGTAATAACGTGTTGATAAAAAGTACCTAATACACGTAGATTTTTTTTGTAATTCTCATCTTTATAAACGTAGAGGCGGCGTAAAAGAATTAAAAATAAATGGAATCATTAAACGTTATAATCTATTTACTTTTGTTTATACTCTAATCATTTTTCTGTTTTTGACAGTTTTATAGGTAGGTAATTTAATAAGAATTGTAGACTAATCACGGAACATCTTCTAAAGTATCTTATTATGTAAAAAAAAAGTACACTCCAGTGAAATATATGGGCAGAGTATAATATAAAAATGTGCGTCTGTCCGCAGCGCGGTCGATATACTGCTACGAGTGCGACAGTTGGACGGACTCGAGGTGCAAGGACCCATTCAACTACACCGCATTGCCGCGCGACCAGCCGCCCCTGCAGACCTGTAACGGCTGCTGCGTCAAGATGGTTCGCTACTCCAAGAGTCGTGAGTATCAACATTCAACCTCTTAAAATTTAAGTAACAATTATATCACTCTTAAAGCTACTTAGTTTCGTTTGATTTGATCTAAGCTTTCTCCCTATTCTAACCTCATTTTTATCTTATCGTGTTTATAGTTTTAAAAGATCTAAGACATTTTTATTCATCCGTATTTTATAGTCAACTAGCTGTTGCTCGCGACTTCGTCCACGTAACTATTAAAGCTTATGTTACTCTGCGATATCATAGCCTTTTAATAGTGAAAGAATTTTTAAAATCGGCCCTGGTTTTTGATTTCTTTAAATACATACAAAAATCTAAAAATACAAATCTTTTCTCTTTAAAATATTAGTATAGATATGAAGTCTCTGACTTTTGTTTTTTTTTCTTCCAGCATACGAAGTGGTGAGACGAACGTGCACATCACAATTACAAATAAATCTATTCATGGTGGACCACGTTTGTATGATGGAAAGTACAGGCACTGGTCACATGTGTTTCTGCGAGGAGGACATGTGCAATGCGGCGCCGACTGTCGACGTCGACGCCACGCTGCCGCTGCTCGCACTAACCCTGCTAGCATGTGCATGTTGCAGGTGAAGTAGGACGGTAGTGATGGCCGGTTGTTGTCACCGATCGATCTGCGATACCCCATATTGTTGACGATCGATTTTATTCGAATCGATACGATCATACAATCGAACCGCGGAATGCGGGGGTTGACTTTATTATATACTTTTGAATCGATGTCGATAAATACTTGCGTATATCGATCGACTGACTCAACAAGGCGTTACCTTACTAGCTTAGATTTAATTACATTCTTCGTCCAATAGTAGATGTAGATTTAGCATTGAAGTGCTTAGTTTTCACAGATTATTAATTGAATTTCAACCATGCATTTTTGAATTCGGAGAGTTTACATTTGGATAAGGTTATTATGAGGATCGAAACAATATTTTTTTTATTGAAATGTAATTTGAGTTTCTATTAAGTTTCGAATACAAAATAGTATTCATTTGTTTTGACCTTTTGAAATTTCTTCCAAAAATTGAATATGCACTTTTTTAAATCTTCCAGCTATTATGCGTTTTGAATATGCTTTAGATAAGGTTTTTATAAATTAAAAAAAAAAATAACCTATAACAACGATTTGAGTGTGAAAACTAATCGCTTGAATTATTCATCTAAGAATTCGTGATTGACAAAATTGTCCTAAATATGAAACAAAAAAAAAGCTAATCAAAATGGATGATATTAATAATAGACACTAGCTAGAATGTACAATTAAATTTAAATTCGATTTAGCTTGTAAATAGGATGCAATTTAACATTACATTATTATATTAAAAAGAATTTTCTCCACGAAGCCTTTGCGTCATAATTGTTTGAGTCAATCATAGACTAACAGAATTGCTCATAGATGCACTCTTACGAATAGAAGTTGGGCACTTAGATAGAAAGAATACGAAATGAAAACTAGCGAGAACTGCCGAGTAACATAGAAAGGAAAATTAGGTATTAGTAACAAGATATATCGGTTGAAAACCGTATTTAAAGATTGTTTGGCGAATATTACTAAGTTTAAAATAGATTTTAATGAACCATTTTTATAAAATGCAAATTTAACAATAATTTGTTTATAGAGAATGGTTTAACTAAATAATTCGTTTATTATAAATTTGTGATATAGTTTATTCGTTGATTATTGTTGTAGATAGTATAAATTTATATTTAATTTCATTGCGTCGTTAAAATCAAAACTAACAATAACGTACAAAATATATTATTACGTAACAAACGTTTTCAATGAAAAATTAACGCTTATAAAGACAAATTATGAATTTCATAGCAATAGTTTTAAAACATTTGAAATACGTAGAGAGCATTAATCCAAAGTGCAAAGATGAAATTTCTTATGACATAAATGTAATGATAAATATGTTATAAAATATAAATAATAATGAACTTAAACATTGAAATTGCTGCAACATGTGGTAAGACTGGTAAATGTATTAGTTCCGCTAGATTTGCAACTTTCAATACTGCCACAAATTGTCAACTAGAACCCAACTAACTCGTGAGCAAGCGATAGACCAAATTGAAAATCAACTTGACTTATTTTTCGTGATATTTGTCATAAAAATACAGTCAATAATGAAATATTTACAAAATTAATCCAGAATTATTTGCAATTACTAGAGAAAAATTCAATTCCTGTAGATTTTTATAACGCCGTGTGCACATTGCCTTAATATTTTCAAAGTTAACGTTATTAATCATAATAGTGTTTATAGAGAAAACGAAATGCCTTAAATTGGTGTTAATTTAAATCAATCAACAAAAATAATAGACCAATAGCGGTATTAAACAATAACAAGTCTTTTGTTATGCTTTTGAGCATTATTCTAGATATAATAAGCCAATGAAGACAACTTATAATTATTGTGTGTATAAACATCTGTGTGCGTCTACTCTATGATGTAACCGCGGATTTCCACTGTAGATAAAAATAACGGCATTTCATTCGTTCCTAACTATTCTGGAATAAAATATATTGTTTCGGCAGTGGAAAAAACTATTACATATATTTATACACATTTCAATTACAGATGTTTTAAGTATAGGGGTGACCCAAATGATATCGAAAGTGCAGTTAGGTTATGCGTCAATAGATGTAAGTGTATTAAATGATGCTAGATATTAGAGTTTGCGTAAAAGTGACCTCGTAAATTTAATTATTTAATAGGAAAGTTGACACCAAATAATATTAAAATATTTAATAATATAGTACGATTAATTTTAAATATAATCAGATTTTTATTTCAATTCGAAGGTTAGTGGGCGGGAAACTTTGACAAAATGTGAGTTTTGCACATTTGTTACTTTTTGGTACAGATAAAATATCTGGAACATTAGTTTTAGTTATTATTTTTTAATCGCTGTTGTAATGAAATACAACGTGCAATATATTAAGACGTTTATATAAAATGTAATTTTATAAAAAAAAATAAGAAAATCACAAATATTAGTAGGTATAAAACAATTTCTTCGCGTGAAAGTTCAATAATCTTATAGTCTTCGATTTGAAATAAGTGTATAGTTAATAAATCTAAAAACTATTCGTGTTTCGCTAGATTTTCTTTCGATTAACATAAATAATTACTATTAAAACGTTCAGATTCAAATGTGTATTTTTCTTTACGAAGCAAAGGATAATTTACATTAAATTATTATTGTACTATAATATTAATTTCCTTCTTTAATGTAATATTTAAATCATACCATCACTCATTGCATGTATTTAATGGAACTTTTAAAGTGGTTTAAGCCTAGCATGCTAGCTAAAGCACTGTTGAGCCAGACACTCAGCTTACGTCACTAAGGAATGGCGGAATGCAAAAAATACATGGAATTCGAGATAGATGTTGAAATATTAAAAATAATTTCGGTTGACATAAAGATGTGAGATCTATGCCAGTGTGGATGTATGAATAAATGACCTTTGTCTTTTAGAGATTCAATATTTGACATTTAAAAATGGCGCGCTTCTGGCAAAGAGTATAAAACTAAAGATACACATTTCCATTTGCATCTGGCATAGATTCGACGTCCGTGTACACCTTTTATAGCTTTGTTTTACTGTTTATGATAGCTAACTTGAATTGTAAAATTATAACTAGAATTTATAACTGATGCTGTTAATACTACATATAGTTAAGAATGAATAACTTTTTATCTTATCGCTTTAATTTTAATCTACGATTATTTAGTACTATTGTAAAATGCAACTGTGTTGAAGTATATTTTTATTTTAAATAGATTTCAAATATTCATTTTAAATTATTTAAATACAATAACTATAATATTATGACATCATGCCTTACTTAAAATAAATATTAAAAGATATATTTCAACACTTTAGTTAAGCACTAAGTAATGATGAATTTCCTTCACTTTTCTAATAACATATCACGCATATTTAGAAGGGATATAGTTCTGGTATTGGGTATGATCAATTAGTGATAGTTTACATATCTGATAAAACTCTCTCACAGATTAACGATGGCTTTCCCTTATCACCTCAATTAAATTTAATTGGTGACTAAGCGAGGCCTTTAGTGTAGCTTATTCTATAACAGACTTACAAATAAACGCGGTATAAAGTTAAACTTAGGAATAAACTGAGTATAAGCATATATTAGCACAAATTTTGCTTCTATTTAGTTTATTCCGAAGTTCAACTTTATACCGCGATTATTTGTAAAGTTGTTAATCTATACTGAAGGACCATTTTAGTGACCATTGAATAACTACGAGTGCAGTACAAACTTGTTTCCAGAATATTCTTCTATTTATGAAATAACGAATAAATGCGAATAGGGGTAGAATACACCTATTTAGTTGCAAAAAAACGACTGAATGTGCTGATTTACAGCGAATACAAATTATATACGAGTGATATTTTATAATTTTCAATATAACAAATTTATATTTTTAATAGTTAATTATTATTTTATTTATTCACGTTTTGATGGCAACCCAATACCTTTGAGCATGTACCTGTTACACGATACAAATTATATAATAATAAATTTGGATAAAACGATTCATTAATATGGTTAGTGAGTAAAAATCGCGTACTAGATATAGGTAAAGTTAATATAGATATATGTTAATTTTATATGTTGATATGTGATTATCGCATTAAGTTTGCGGGCGCCCTAATCGTTTTATCCAAAGTCTTTAATGTACTAACTTGCACCTTTATTCTAACAAGCATTTATCGCTTAGTTGATTGATTTTGAACAATCTAACTTCCAGTTGAGTCGACATTCCGTCTGCGATCCGTCAATGAATTAGCAACGAACATATTTCACCATAGCTAGCCAATAACGATTTTTTTTATTTCGACGCTTTTTTTTTAGAGAATTGGCGCCAAAATAATTTCTGACCGAGTTCTGAATCTGACACTTGAAGTCAACTGTTTTTTATTTTTATTTATAGAATAAATTATTTTTTTATCTTTATCTTATTTCACTATAGTTATATTATTTATTCATTATTTACTGGATCAAATGTTTTTTTTGTTGATAGATATTGGCTTAGAATGGAGGTGGTGCGTTGCTAATTAAATGACGCAATAACGCAGATTATATATGTGGTCTGTCTGTGGATTTTTTCTTCATGTCATTCGTGGTCCAGTACCTATCTTCAGCCATCACGTCCTTTATGTTTTTGTACTGCAGCCAATTGTATTGACACATATTGTCATCTCTTACGTTTCCTTTGAATGGACGGAGACAACGTGTGTCAATACAGTTACTGCAGTAGAAACATACGTTTGACTTAATGTACTCATATTTCTATTGTATTATCTTGCTCGTAAGTATCACTTAATTATGTATTTAAAATTATAAATATGTATAGAACTGCGGTACAATAAATATGAAATTTCTATTTGATGCTTTAATATTCGTAAGTCCATAACAATAATTGTTATTTAAATTTTATTTAACATTAATGTGGGTTTTTTAATTACGAAATTTTCATGTAAATGTATCGTTCCGTACGATGAATAAAGACACATTTTTTATTCGTTGTAGGGGATATCATTTAATGTTTTCGACAGTGAAAACCAATGTTTAAAACATAAATATAAGAAATGTTTTACATCCATGTTCCCATTTTGTTGTAAGCAAAATGTATCAAAGCATATAAATATTGTAGACTAACATAAAATTACGAATTTTTGTTTTTTGTACGTTACAATATTTATTTTTATGTTACTTTCATGTTGATTATACTAATTTTGTCATTTAATGAAATATGTATTAATGTAGTTTTATTTTGTTTGTGATTTGTGAAAATATTTATTATAAATTGTAAAATAAAATGTAATCCGGAACTGTCCTATAAAATTGACATTACATATATGGCAACACTAAAGTGCATAATTATCACAGCTGTTTTAAAATAAAATGCTAACTTTTGCAGACAATAAAAATGAGCAATAAAACCTAGTTATTTCGAAGTCTGAAACTTAAGGCGACAAATTGTTAGCTTCCAGTTATTGTCCGCAGTTATATCTTTTTAATATCCTCTCGCTGAATAGTTTGGGTAGCCTGACAAATTTTTCAACTATAAAAGTGCCATAATTATAGAAATATTGTTATAAATTTGACTATTATTTTAACCTCTTGAATTATTAAGAAAGGCAGAACAAAGTCCATATAACCCCATGTCGACAAATCCATATTATTATTTATTTAATATGCTTGTTCTGTGTTTCTAGTAAAGTGACAAAAAACCTATTTCCCTCCTTACCAACTCCATTGCTCCTTGTCTTATCACGTATATAAAAAGGGTAATTCAAATTATAGTTGGTATAAAATTATAACTGTATTCATATGATAAAACCAAATTGTATTGATAAGAGTTTAAATCAGCTATTCTTAAAGCGGTCTAGTTGGATCTACTGCGGACCACAAGAGACCCATCATAGATCTACTGGGAACAAGATTGGAGAGCCACGATTTTGAAAGGAGAGCAAACCTTCCCCCACCCAATAAAATGGGTGCGCCGAAAACAGTAAAATTTGAATAGGGTCACAAGGAATATGTTAGGGAGATTCTGGTATAAGAAACAAATTTGTTATTCTGAAAGAGTTTTTATAACATACTTGTGTTTATTTCATTTTTCATTACGATAAAATAAATTAAAACCATTTTGACATATTCACAACATAATTAATAGTATCTTAAATAATATCAAACAATTATAATGGATTAGGCAATTATTAATAGTATTTTTAAAATTACATTTATATAATAAACTTTGATCAAATATATAGCTGAATTATAAATATTTACAAAATCTATCACAGAAATTATTTACATGCTAAGTATTACTTATTGCTATAAACCAGTTGTGGCTTTCCTCAGTCTCTCTTGAATATCTCCTAAAATAAAAATTACCAACATAATTTTTTAAGAAACATACATTAAAGTATACATTGATTAATAAGTACAAAAAGGTAGTTTTTGGGAGCATTTTTTTAGATATCGTTTATCAAAATAATCACTCGTTTACTTATAACAGTATAAACCAAAATGTACATCTATTGAAAATACTTACTTAAATCATCAGCTATTGGACACTTTCTTAAGTGTTCTGTTATTATAAGTTTTAGTTCTGCTTTCTCCGCTGTCAGTATTTTATTTTTCTCTCTTAACAATCTATTTTCCTCACTTTGCTGCTTCATTGATTCTCTTAAACGTATTCTGCAAAAAAAAATTTGATCTCATTATACTATAAGTAAAGCAAAAACTTGGTACCATTGCAAGTATGAATGTGATATTATACAGTAAAAGTTGAGAAGAAAAAGGTATTAAAACATAAGTTATGGTTAAATCTGACCAATGGTATGCCACTATTTTTATATATTTTTTATTTCCAAACAAAGTCGCTTAAATCAGCTATAAAATATGGAAATGTCAATAATTACTAATAATATAAACATACCTATATCGTTTTGAAGCCGCGCTTCTATTTTCTAAATACTGTTGAGAAGGTGAACGTCTCCTTGTTTGAGCAACATTATTATTGTCTACTACAATACAATCCTCATCAAAAGGTTTTCTCGGTGATTTTGTTGGTTCTTTGCTAATAGGTAACTTATTTGTTTCACTTTTGTTTGTATCTATTAATTTTACTTCATCATCTTTTATTGATTTTCTTTTAACTGCTTTATAATTATCACTTTTCTTTAGTTTAACTGTGTCAATCGGAACTAAAGATATATTTGGTAAGGTTGGTTGAATTATAGTATTCGGTGGGCTTACTATAGTTACTGGTATAAGAGTTGCTGTTGTTAATGGCAATATATTTTGTACTAAATGAGCATTCTGTATACTCGTCATTCTTTGAAAATTCGGAATCTTAGCCTCCTGTTTATCTTTCACTTTATTTGTTAAAACCTTTTTTAACTTTTCTCTTGTATCTTCCTTTACTGTTTTTTCATTTTGTGCATCATCTTCGATTGCTTTCATTCGTACTTGTTTGCCATTGGGAAGTTTTATTATTACTTCATAATCATTATCTTTTGAATCTTTCATTTCTTTACTATTGATAATATTTTTAATGTTATTATCTAGTTTTTCTGCTTGTATATTATTTTTATTTAACGCATTATCATAGTTTCTTTTTAGAGTTTTAAGTAGATGTTCTTTTTCTCTGTCAACTGCTTCATTATGGGAAACATCAGAAGTGAAACTATCAACTACAAAATCTAAAGACCTTTGACTCATTATAGGAGGTACTTTCCCTTGAGGTACTTGTAATTTATTAGTGTCCGTAAGCAGTACATCATTTGTCACAACATTAGCATCCTTAATAACTGAATCCGAATAAGAAATCATTGTTACTGGTACTTGTGCATTTTTAGCATTTTCAATATTAACAATATTATCTTTTCTAATTTCAACATTACTATGAATTTTTATAATATTATTTGTGTACGAAACTGTTTCGTTTAAACCATCTTTGTTTCTCGCAGTCTCTTCATGTCGTACTATAGATACATCATCGGTTGTAGTCACTCTGTCTAATAGATCCTGTTTACCAACTACCCTACTAATGGTTGTCACTTCATTTGTCAGTTTTGATATTGTGGTAGTTTCATACTCTTTAACAGCACCAGACTCATCACTGGATGACCTAAATTTAAGTTTAAAAATTCAATCTTAGCAAGAACTTTATCTCATCTACGTTTATCCTGTACACAAAATATATGCTTTCACTTCTTTTCAATATGCACCATAAATGGTAATTACTTGGGGTATACAAAGTAATTGAACTAAATGAATTGAATAATTTAAATTCAATTAATTTGCAGCTTCAAATTATTCACATAACCTTAATATTGTGTTTTACAAAGGGGTGTTAAAAATTAAATAACATTTCTTACCTGCTTATTGTAATATTTCTTTGATTATTTGTGGTACTGAATAGTGCGCAATCTCCAGGGTCTATGTGGGGAAACACCAGATGCGGTGTATGGAGAACATCATCTGATGAACTACCACCATTAACACCCTCCAGTGATAGATGCCTGAATTAAAAATAACTCAATAAATATGTGTCATCATAACCAGCAACTATAACTGTCATTCACAACTTTTTATTTGATAAAAGGGATGTATTTCTTTTAGTTTGCTAACTTAATATATCAACCAACAAGATATCTAATCTGCAAAATTATATTACTATAGCTTGCTAGCATCCTTTTAAGCAATTTTCTATATCCTTGTTGGTTGTAAATACATACAGAAACAACCGATAATATTAAGTTAGTTGTTCTTGTAAGACTTACTTTGTTTCCATAGCCCTTTTGAAGCCTTCATCAAATGGGTTGACATTTTGCAAATCTTGAAACAGTCCCACTTCTTCACAATTCCTAATAAACCGAGTGGGTGTTGGGGTCTGATCAGCTGGAACAATAAGTGATAAACCATGTAGAGTCAAAAACATGAAAAAATAGGTTAATCATTTGCAGAAAACATTGGTGTTATTAATTTAATATGTAGTAGATATGTAAAAATCAATTTAATTCTGGATTTTAAGCATAATACATGATAATTTTTGCATTTCATTATCCAGTTGGCATATTATAACAAGCCACAGATTGTTAGAGCATATATGACTCTGTAAGTGTAACTACAGCTGGAAATTCTCCCAATAATATCTCCAGAAGTAAATTAAATAATGTACCAACAAAAGCAGCTTTTTGTTCCAAGCCAAGTTGCAACACCATGTCATGTTTCTTAGTGTGGACATGGAGATGATCTTCATTGGTAAACGTCATTCCACAATCAGGTATAGTACACGCAAAAGGCTTTTCAGGTTCCATTTCACTTTACTTTTAAATAAAATCTTAATTATAAGCATTAAGCGGTGAAACAAAATTATGATAACGATTTTCACACGGAATTTTAGTCACAGAATTTCTATCATATCACATTTGTTACGACAATAATTGATATCTCTCCAATTGAAATAGATAATACTTAAAAAATTTAAAATAATTGGAATACACAATAAAACAATTGTTTAATTGCAGATTACAATGACGGCCAGAGGTACTTGACATTTTGTTTTGACATTGACAATCATACTTTTAAAGTTATTTGGCAAAGGTATAGTAAAACTATTTTTAATAAAATGTCTGAAAAATCTGAAAATTAATAGTTGTAATTGACTATGGAAAAAAAAGTTGCAAAACTTATGCTCAATACATTTCTCTTAGACCTTTTGTCTCTATACAATAATATTTTAGCAGAATTGTGGTGCAGTGTTATTTGGTTATTGGGTGATATTTCGTTATACCAACGTAACATTAACACAATTTGACTAAAACGTATTATACTTACTGTACTTTTCAATTTACTTAAAATATTTTAAAATCACTGTTAAATCAAAAAAACACAAGAAGCAGAGCTCTATCAGAGAATCTAGTAGGTTTTATTGGTGAAAGAAACTAACGCAAAAACGCCGGATACATGAACTTCATTGTTTAGTAAACAAAGATATTTTAATGGTTTACACGATATGAAGTACAGTCGCGATACAATGAGAAAGAAAAAATTTTTGGGCTTTCATCTGCGTCTTTATAACCACAGTAGAATATCTTAGATGCAACTTAGAATATTGCGCCTAAACGATATGGTACGACATAGGAAAAAATGCCTAAAAGATCGCGTTGGATCAAATCGTTTTACCTCGCGTTGCATTTTCGTATATAACAGCTTAGATGTGGTTTATACCGTGTTTAGACTTCAATATAAGAAGCACACGACATACACGTGACTGTACTTTCACAACACGTACAAAAACTTTGCATTGCCATACTCATGTGTGTTTTTTTGTTTATTTTTTGTCATTCATGCACGACACGTTCTTTTTTTTAATGTACAGGTTTACTGTACTTTGATTTCAGTGCCTATGATTCCTAAGAATCTGTGGCTCATTTGCAATTTGTGAATAAACGCATAAAGTTTAGTATGTCGACTTAAGTAAATGTATTTTTATATCGTAGACTATTCAGGATGTTAGTATTCAAATTATTTATATGTTTAATGGTCAGTGTGTATGCCGGTCCAGCTACTGAAAGTTTTAAAAATCAATGTAAGTGCTATCCTCACAAGAGATTTTACAAAACAGATTGTGAACAATTCCAAACAGACATATGAATTTTTAAAAGCCTAAACATTTATATTAATTGAACAGGATATATTTAATAAATTTGCGTTTGCACCCTCACTGGGACATCAGATTAGGAAAGTTTTAAAAACTCCGTTCTTTGTTCGTTTTTAAACTGACTAGATTGTACTGATCCGCGTACTATGAAGAGACACACGGCGTATACGGAGTGGGCGGACGCCTACTCTTGCACGAGACACCGTTGCCAACCTGGCGGGAGAAATCTGGCTATATACACTGTCGGGTAAGTTACTTAAATGCTACCTACACTGATAAAAATAAACAATAATTTTTCATATAACCAAGGCTTAATTCAATGGGTTATATTTGATCGATGTTACAGATGCAAGCGTGTAGAGCCACCTGAGTCAGCAATCGAATGCGAGGAGGTCGTCGAAGATACCAACATGCAGTTCCCATATTGTTGTCCACGACTACGGTAAAAATAAAACATTCATTTGCATAAGGAAAAAGATTGTCTTCTAAGCCATCCATTATCGTGTCTTATGAATCAACTATTTCCAGATGCTTAGTGGTCGTCCGTGGCGAGGTGTGGACACGCGTGTTGGGTCAGCCCTGGGAAACGCTACCCGCCGCGCCCT